CACTCTCTAATCACACTGTTTGTTAGAAACGAAATTTGACGGAACTTGCTTTATTCTAACAGAATAAAACAATTTCATTGTGTTATACTACCGTATGTATAAATTTGTTCAAATTTTTTATATAGCCTATCTACAATGAACTTGTCCCACCTCGACCAATTCTTGTGAATTCTGTCGTGTCTTCTACAAATGAAAATATTGTGAAATTATTTTGGTCTGTACAATATCAAAATATAACTAGTAAAATGAATCCAATTGTATTTATATTACAAGCAAGAATATGTATTTGTAAAGTATTCAATGAAAGTTATGCATCAAAATGGCAAACATTAATTATGGTAAGTAATTAGAAAACACTAATGTGACATGCATTAAACAGAACTGACCAAAAAAATTCTATGCAAAATGCACTATTATTTATTGTCAGTAGATGTCTCATTTAATGGGTACAAATATTTACATTACAGTATTGACAAAGAGAGATAGTTCGAAATTAGGCCAAACCACTGTTCGACATATTTTTATTGCTACTAGTTCATGAACCAAACTTCAAACGGAAGCTTCTCCTAATTGAAAAAAATTATAATATTCCAGTTTTTAGAGATGACGCTTCATTTCATCCATAGACTGAAAGTCAAACATCTTTCCAACTGAATAGAATTTTCGAAAAATGTACTTTTTGCCAATGATTTTTATTTAGTTCAATGTATATAGGTGTCTGTGTGTTTGTATGGTCATTTTGTATGCATTTTTTAGACTCATGAGTTTGGAGTGAATCTTGAGGCATTTGAACCTGGACGTTTGTATCAATTTCGTATTGCTGCCGTCAGTATTCATGGTACCAGAGGATTCGGTTTAAGCACAAATACTTATCCTGTAGATCCAATCAGACCATCACCACCAGGACCACCCACAAATGTAACCGATTCAATGTGGAGGTTGTATTCATCTGGTAAGATAAATCTTCTACTAAGATGGCAACCACCGGTACGAAGTGATCTACCGTTAACTGAATATTTGGTAAGTTGAAATTTGACTCTTGTCAATGCAATGTACTACTAGTTTATTCATTCATAACCGAAAATGTTGAGTCTGTTAACAAAATGCTTCATTGACTGACTGACTGACTGATCGATTAGTTGGTTGATTGATTTTATCAATTATTTTCATTGTTAGATATCTTGGTCCATTGATCATGGTTACTTACAAACAGGTGGAGCAACACTAGAAGCTCTAGTTCAGTTCACTCAAACAATCAATGCGGTAAGACAAACTTGTGAAAGCATATTTTATGAAAAAGGTTGTTTACTTTTCATTGAAAAGAGATGCAACAGTAATACGTAGTTAGGACGATAGAGAATCCAGACAGCATAGTGTATCTGCGAAAACAAGTGTTTAGTTTGATGGTTTTAGGTGACGATTCAATTAGAAAACAGTAATCAAAACAGGCTGATACCGATTGATAAGCAATTGAGAAGCAGAGTACACTGTATAATTGCATTGCATTTACCTTGTGATCATTACTGTTTAGATGACAATCAAAACGTTGCATAAAATCAAAACTCAAGAGTCGCCAGTAGCTTGAAGTGGCTGTTACATTTTCACTATACGGACTGAAATCGCTCGTCAAATATTCTCCAACATTAGTCGGTTCATGATACGGTCTAACAAGTATTCCATGATATCACTCGTTAACTTCCTCACTATCATCACATTGGAACTTCTCCACTGTCGAAAACCATCTTCAATTCATGAGATACTTTCCATGGTCTTCATGTGAAACTCCATTGATATTGTTTAAATCTGATATTGATATACAGTCGACTAAAAGTCTTATTTGCGCAACTTTATCCAACCTTCAAAATTCATCTCGAAAATTGTGGCTCTTCTCCACCATCTTAATGACAGAATTGCTTCACATGTCTTACAGATCTTAGTTACACTGTCTATGCTTCAATACGCCTATTAATTTCATTTAAATGAGAATAGTATATCAGTGATTCAAACAAAGTTTACGCTTATCGTTCTCACAATTTTAGAAGAATCTGTAATATATTTGAATAAATAATGCTATGTGGATTCTCTCTGATTTAAATTTAGGAACGAACAGAGTGTATTTTGCATAATTTGAAACCGGCAACCTCATACAAAATCCAAGTAAGTGACATTGTGTTACTTTGAAATCATTCAGTACTTTAAAGTATCCCGTATATTTTAGAACAGTGGAATTCATGTGAACTATAATTTATTCTCTTGTCATATCATGTTTTAATTCATGAACATTTTGATGTTACTTAATAAAATGAAATAAGGTCGAAGATATGTTATTGTTTACTCCGATTCTGTTTGAGTAATTACGGTCATCGCAACTAGTAATGTTGACTGATGTGACTATGGATTGATCGCTATCGTTTGAATATGTTCATTTTTTATCTTCCCTCTTGATGCTCAGTTCTAGAATTCTTTTATTCGAAACACTTCTTTCTGTCATTGTTATTATTGTTATCTTATGTTGACAAGATCATCATTCACTCTTGTAAATTGCTTCGGTTGTGCTGTACTATGTATGGCATGGCAACCTGAACCAACACGGATTCACTGTAAATGAACGTAGATTACAAATTATAATTAAACAACCAAATGTGTTTCGATTTATTTCGGGTATGCAAAGCAATTATCACACACAGTCTCATACATTTCTGTTGAATTCAAGTGTCAAAGTCTATAAATGCTTTACCCATCACAATGGTCACCTTTTAGTCACCGTGAATATATGGAGGTACTGCATGGTTGTAAAGTTAAAAGGACTTGTGAGTCTCAAATAACATAAACATGCTTTATGATTTTACTATTACCCACCATGCTGAAATATAGTCACTTTTTGGCTACACGCGTGTGATCCAATCACTTTTATCATCTGTCAACAGAGAATGATCAAGCTGAAAGTGTGAATATGAAAAAAGAAACGTATGCAATTTTAAATATAATGATGTGTACTGATAATTTTGTACATTTGTGTTTCCCTTTATTTCATCAGGTGAGAGCAATCGCTCATTGGCATGGATTCGGTAATCTCGAATCTCAACCAAATACAATATTTCTTTCCACTCAATCCATTCATCCAGCATTTCATCAACAAACTGTTAATCCAATACAAATCTATGCTACACCGAATACAAGTATGTCCAAATGTAGTTCAATGTGAAATGATGATTACTTTTTATGAAAGACAAGCATTTGTACGATCTTTTCATAACAAGCTCAATTCGGCGTACCCAGAACATAAAATCTCAGTGACCAACACAAACTAATCAGTATCTGGTTTCAATAACTCTTAGTTAAAACACTACGTTTAATTATTTGGAATTATTCTATGAGCGATCGTTGGCTTCATTTACACTGGTGTTTCATTCTCTGGTTGAATCAAAAAAGAGAAAAATTGATTCTTCTATCATTGACCATTTACGTGTACGTAACTGACAAAGTGCAACTATGGTGGTTTCACAAACAAACAAACTGTAATACAATGCTACATATCTTAAAGTGTTATTCAGACTCATGTACTCCTGTATCAATAAGTAAATACAACATAACGATTTGCTACAATTGGTTGTACAAGGCTGTATGCTACACTCAGGAATTATGTCATGTAGAAGATTAAGAGAGGGATATTAAATTTCTACTTATAAATCATTGTTTTACAATCGATCGTTTAAGAAGTTGATAAATCGATTCACCGTTCTTTTGAGTTGTCGAATTAGTTACAAACTCCATTATTTCTAATGATCGAATATACTTTCAAAGATTGTTATTTTCGGATTCACAATGAATGCCCATGTATATTTATTCAAATGTGTGTTTTGAACTATTTTATATTTCAGTCAAATTACCAACAGAATTCGCGCTGAAATCAAAATCATCAATCTGTGAATGTGGAAATGGTCCACAACCTATACTGCTGAAGAAAATATTCTACGATAACCATAAATTAAAGGCTGTACTACAAATTAATATGAGTAAGTTCCTCTGTCATCTTCTATTTTGTTGATATTTCCTAGTCTGGACATCAGTAGGTAGTATTCGATCACTATATTAGAAGGAGAACTGTTGGCTGCATGTGAACATTTAACTACACATGCAGTCACTGAGACTCTCCATTGCTTCTCATTGTCACATAGTGACCTAACTTACTCGCCGTCTGTAGAAATAATTCCATACTGATGATAAATTTTATGCTGGGAATGAAGATGTTGTTCCGTTCGAATCATAGCGCTTAAAACCGTAAACAGTAAAATACGAAAATGAAGAGTATCAGAACTATATGATACCTTAGCTGAATACAATAAGAACACGCATTCACTTGTTTTCGGGTTATTTATGAAAAATTAAAGGTCCATTGAAAGATAAGAGTGAAACAAAGATAACGAGGAAACCTATGTGAAACACATCACTGGACAATAAATCAGTAAACCATAGTGTTTATCATTCACAGATTGAATAAAATGATGTTATGTTAGTTATGTGAATTGAAGTCATCATATTGATATAACTGTGAAGAATGAACTTTGCTCATAATGACTGTTAGATTCTGTTAGGCAAAACTTGAATGGAGTGTTAACTCATTATATCACCATATGATTATCTGTTTGTCCATGGTTTGTTTTTGAATTCAACATAGCCATAAAGAAGGAAAACACAACAATAATCGAATGGTATCCACAAGTGTGCATTGATTCAAAGAATATTCTATGGAATATGTCACCTTCAACAATCTTCTTAAAATCTACAGTATGTTAAATTTACATGTTCATTCATTGGTGCTGTTGATGTTCCAGAATATGTATTTTGACATTCTCTTGTTTGCTTGCTATCCAGCTATTACATTCATTTATCTTATTGTATGATGCGATTTCCTCAATGCATATCCATGTCTATCGATGCAATAATGATCGACTGAAGTTGAAAATGTGAGCTTAAAGAAGTAATATGTTCACTGTGGGACTTGAATGTTCTGATTTTAATCGTTGGCACAGAGTGGCATATCAAAATTAGACAATCGCCCAGTTTTTATCTATTTCTTTGATGAAAATCTCTACTTACAGTAAATTTGAACGAATGGCTATTAGAAACAGTGGGTTATTTCAACTTGAACAAATGTTGGGCGATTTCGGTATTCGCGATTGTGATTCAAGTAAAGATACTCATACAACTGTAGATATTTCGGTTGGAAGTAATTTCTCATCAAATGTATGTTGTTATCATCGCAAGGTGGTCCCAATACATTATCGTTTAATAATGCAGATATATACCTACTGACAGAGTGAATTTCATTGAGAAACACTGTTTTTTAAATGCATTTCAGAGGTGATAATAAGAGAGATAAGATAGTCATCGTATTGTATGTAAAGCATCAAAGTAGACAGATATATTCAACTTCTAACTAAGTCAATCATGTGGAGTTGTATTAGTTTTAAAGAATATTCAGTGAGCACCATTTAAATTGAATTGTCTTCGGTTGCTTTTGATTTGCGTCAAAATTCAGTATTCGATGCATCTTTAATCGATAATATTGATTTTCAGTCACTTATTATTCATCGGAAATTGAAATCTAACAACATGCATCATATTCAATCTATGTGGAATCAAGCATTACAATCCATTTAATTTGTCAGTGACTTTTTTCGACTAAATTCTCTGAAACTGTATCAGAAGGTTACATTAAATTCCCTTATCGAAATGTGAGGGAATTTCCGAGAAAATATTGTGACGACTGTAGGAAAATGTTTCTAATAGTAGTTATGACCATATAAATACGCAAACATGGGCTGATCTACTTAACCAGTACGTATTTTGGAAAGGATTCAAAGCTTGATACTATTCATACACCATGTGAGACCACCGTATGCATGTTAATTGACACTTTCACAGTGATAGATAGATAGTTTTGTTCACTCATCAGATAAAATGTGTGAGAATTTCGAAGTTGTTCTTTCAGTCACTCTAGGTGGTGAGCACAGCATCTTTCTGACAGAAATGGGCATATCCATATTATTTTTCAACGTACTTCCATGGAAAAGATTTGTCAGCATAAAATGCACCTTTATACTTGTTGCATTATCCAGGAAAGAAAATTCTAGATAAATATCACAGGACTTCGACCAATGTTCAGTATGAGTCAATTCACTCAGAATGAGTCTTTCGATTTTATTTACTAACGTTATTTATTTTCATAATAGTGGATGACACTGCTGAAAATTGCAAAT